ATATATATATATATATATATATATATATATATATATATATATATATATATATACATATATATATATATTTGTTTTATTATTGAATGATACTTTTTACTTATATGGTTTTAAAATCATGTATATATTTTTTTATAATAAAATGTTAAACTATTGATCATTAATTTTTAACATAATAATTTTAATAGTTAGTTATTTATTCTCGTTTCTTAAAATTCAAAATATAACCTATACGAAAAAATCTAAAGTTTAATTTTATAGCTAATTTGATTGTTTAATTTATTTTAATAATATAAAATTAAATAAAAATGATAGAGGATATATAAACTGTTATCAAATATTTATTATTAGAATCATTAAGTGTCATATATATATATTAGTCATTTATGGTAATTCCGTATGTTTTATTTATGGAAATAAATTATATCTTAGGGAACAATCATTAAGTGTCATATATATATTAGTCATTTATGGTAATTCCGTAGGTTTTATTTATGGAAAGAAAATAGCATATCATAATATCATATAGTTTGACTAACTAATGTATCTAGCAACCTATAAAAATCCAATATGGACTTACTTATTTTTCAATTGAATCTAATTGACTACCTAATTGAATGACACCTATGCATTAGAACCTCTTTTAATTAATACAAAATTGAGGTTACATCTTTTCAAATGTTCCTCAATTAATATATAGGGGATTGGTGTGCTTTTGATATTCGACTGGGGTATGTTACATATTGTATGTATACTAGCATATCATAATTGGAATCTATCTGTTAGATTCAGGTTTATTATCGATGCTGGGCCACTCTGTGGATGTTGTTCCCACAGTTGTCCATACATGAGCGTGCGGGAGAGTGTTAATGAAAGAAACTAAGTCCCACATCGGTAGTTGAAGATATAATTAAGTAATATATAAAAGTTTATGGTCAATCCACTTATCACCAATTGATTTTAAGTTGGAAGTCCATAATAAACCCCAAGTTAATACTATCTGAATTGAAAAACATGTATTATAAATTCGGATTGGCTCTTGCTCTGAACAATATTAATTATTGTGTTGTTTGTTGCTATACTAAAGTAGACTTCAAGTTCAAGCAACACCAAGACTTGCCTGGGGAAATCATGTGCAGAGTAATCTACTTCCACTAGTTATGCGTTTAGGATCAACCAAAGAGCTGGAATATATGTTCTCAGGACCGGTCCTGGGCCAAGCCTAATGAAACATTGACCTTGGGTCCCCAAATTTTTTGAAAAAAGTTCCATGTATATAGGTCCCTAAAAATTTTCTTTAGGCCCCCAAATCCATAAAAAAAAAATTTAGATGAAATTGTTAAAAATTGGCCTTAAGTCCCCTTATTTTCAGGGCCGGCCGTGTATGTTCTCATTGAGTTCTTTACTTACATCATCTGAAGTTTATGCTCCTTAGTCCTTACTCCTCAGAATAAGCAGACGGAAGGAGAGAAACAAAACACATTGGAAAAAAATAAAGAAAACAATGGATGACTGTTTTTTTTTTTTTTTTTAACTCAACATCTCGTTCATTAATCCAATTCAAAGGTACACATACATTGACCTCAACAGACTTTAAACCAATACAGTGATGTAGTCTAGTATCACCTTGAATCACTAGAGATGGATCCAACGTTACCTAACTGACCATCACTGCATTTTTTACCACACTGAGAAGAACGAACACTCCAAGACCCGAAGTGAACACTTCTCTTAGACCCCTAAATTCGACCTCATTGACACGAGAACAGTTACAGACACAGTGAACCATAAATCCAAACTGATGACATTAAACTTGACCCAACTATTGGTCCCTAAAGATCAGAATGGAATACTCGTTCCAATAATCACAACACCAGAGGCGCATAACCAGCCAGACTTAGCTTCACCGGCTTCTCTGCTCCGGTCCTCAGCCTAAAACGGACAGAGACATCCGACTGAAAAGCGGGCTTCAGCAAAAGGACACGTATGATATAGCAAATCAACGCTTTCATAGTTGTGAGTCTCTCCACGTAGATATGACCTTGCAGAACTTCCGACGCTGAGATGAAGAGACTCCTCCATGAACCGACCGTAGGAAGACTCCTCCGGTGGCCGACTCCATCGTCGCCGGTCTTGATTCATGTCGTCTCCGAGAACCGGGAGACAAGACTCTGTCCGCTAACCATTGAAAACTCTCCTCCGTAAATCTCACCGCCCTAGAAAAACAGTAGATCTATGATAGAGGAGGCGTCACCACCGAGACACGCGCCTTCACCGACAAGGATTCATCCGAGATCTAAGAGGAAAAAACTAGATCTGACTCCTCTTTAACCCTAAAAACTGACCCTCTCTTCTACCGCCGTTTCATGAACCTCGCCGTTACTCCAGTGAAGGTAAGAACCTGATACCATCGCACCGTAAGGTGATTTTCCGGTAAAGTCCCACCAGTCCAGAGTAACTTGCATATCGGCACAGATACGGCGATGAGGGAGAGAGCAAAAGAAAAAAAAAAGGAAACAAAGGAAAGAAGGACGGAGCCTCCGACACCGGAGAGACCGGGCCGGAGTTAGGATTGAACGGAAATTATAGAGAGAGGTTAGAGCTTTTTGTTTTTAGAGAGAAGACTTCTTTTTTATCTCAACAATGGATGACTGTTAGTGTTTCAAAAATGACAAAAAAAAGAGAGAAAAGATTGGAAAAAATATAGAAAACGATTGATGACTGTTAGTGTTCCAAAAATGACAAAAAAAAGAGAGAAAAAAGTTACGAACGCTATGCTGTTTATAATATAATAACGACATGAAGTCTGATATCATGTCATTTGTATCGTTTTAAAACCAAAACGACGCAAAGTATACCTTTTGTTTACTGTTTAGGGTTTTGATGGAGAAGCAAGCGTCTCTCTCCGCCATGAATTCATCGCAACGAAACGTCTCCGATGACTCCCAAACCATCCGTCGACGTAGTGAGGACGAACTATTACTGAAGTTACCAATCGATCTCGTCATAGAGATATTCTCAAGGTTGCCGTTGAAGTCTATTGCGAGATGCCGTTGTGTGTCGAAGCAGTGGTCCTCCGTACTCCGCCGTCCAGATTTCACGGAGTTATTCTTGTCCAAAACGTTGGCTCGCCCCAAGCTATTGTTCGCCCACCCGAAAGGAGAGAGTGAGGTGATCTTCTTTTCTTCACCATCTCAGCCTCAAAATCCTCTACAGAGTTTGCCTCTTAT